GGTCGAGGCTGCAGTGGCCGAAAGCGGCCACTGCACTCCAGTCTGGGTGACGGAGTGAGACTCCAACTCAAAAAAAACAAAAAGATACAAAATCATGCTGGGTACAATGGCTCATGCCTGTTATCCCAACACTTTAGGAGGCCAAAGCAGGAGGACTGCATGAGCCCAGGAGTTCAAGATCAGTCTGGGCAACATGACAAGACCCTCTGTCTAAAAAAAAATTAAATTAAAAAAATTTTTTTAAATTAAAAAACAATGTGGCTTTTTGGAGCTTATATTCTATCAGCGAAGGCAGTTATTAAACAAATAATTTCAAATAATTGGTTTAATAATTAAAAGTCTGTGAAAGGCCTTAAGAGAGAAGTACAGGGACTGGGGAAAATACAACAGGGGAGGCTGGATAGCAGAATGGTTTAACAATTAAGAGCTTGGGTCCTTGAGGACAAAAGCCCTGTGTTAGGTCCTGGTATTACTACTTGCTAGCCATGTGACTCTGAACAAGCTCTCTTCTCTGAGACTTGGCTTCACCATCTGTAAAATAAGGACAACAGTTGTACTTACCTTGTAGGATTGTTGTGAACATTAAATTAGGCCACACAGACAAAAGCATTTAGTTGGTATACTTGATACATAGTAAACACAATTTTAGCAATTGATGCAACTATTTATTTACTCTTGCTCTGAGTTCTTTTCTCCTTTCGCTCCATCTCACCCCTTTTCTCATATTTTTCTCCCTTTCCTTCAACAGTAACCACCTTTAACACACACACACACACACACACACACACACACACACACACACACATATTCTCACCTGGTTCTCATTTATTCATTCATTCAAGCATTTATTTAGATACTACTGAAGATATATAGCACCCTACGAGGCACTATGAGGCAAGGTATACAAAAATAATTATAACATTGTTATTCTCTTAAAAATACATAATCTATCACGTTAAGAAATAATTATAATGTAAGGCAAAAAACAGTTAAGAGCCTAACAGAAAACACATTAATTTGGAAGGAGAAGTCAGGGTGGGCATCCCAGAAGGCATAACAAAGGGCCTGAGCTAGAGTAAAGTGACTTTTAGTTGGAGATGTTACGTGGACAAGGCAGTCCCTGCATCCACTCCCTCCCCCTACACTCCCTCAAGTCATTTGCTCTTCACTTGTCAATGTTGCCCAGAAAAAGTGCCATCTTCTGGGGTCCCTGGCTCTGAAGCCAGCCTCTAATCCTCCAGTCAGCTGAAGTTCTCTTTCCAGCTTCTAAGGACCCTTTCTCAGGCCTTTTGCCAAAAAATATTCACTGCTCCCTGAGGAGGAGTCAGGGCCTAAGGTAAATAACTACCTTTTGCCCCAGGATCAACCCCTGTCCCATCTGGTTTCAGTGGCCTTCTCTCCTGTGCCCAGTGGCCTCTACCCTAGAATACTCAAAAAATAAATCCACAGCTTCCAAACTTAAAGGGCAAGACTCATGGCCTCCAGACCAAAGGTTTCTACACATAAACCCCTGTATCTTCTCTGTGTCAGGGCCACCAACGTCAAGTAGCTGGCTCTCCTGCGATGACTCAACTTCTACTCCTGAGAGTGCTCACAGACTCTGAAAGGTTCCCACTGAAAGGCATCACAGTTGGAGCTGGAGGATGTGGAACCCAGAGCCCAGGAAATCCAGCCACCTCCAGCCCCTGCAACCCACTCTGTAGGGGGTAATGGTTGTCCAAGCACAGAATCCACTTCTACCTGAAGCAAATTCATTCCCCTATCAGGGGATTCTGGCTTGGCCCATTCCCCAGAGAAAAACAGGCACTGTTGTGGTTAGAGGGGTGGGGAGAGAAAACAAGGAAAAGGCACCCCAAACTCCAGTCAAAATATGTGATACAGGGTAAAGAGTCCAGTGTCCAGAACCAATTCAACTAATGCTTACATGCCTGAATGACCCCAGAAAGTCACATTTTCAGGAATACAGAGTGGCGATATAGTATAGCAGATAAGACTACAGGCTCTGGAGTCAAATGACATGGGCTCAAATCTGAGCTGTGTGACCTTGGATAAGTTATTTAACCTCTCTGAGCCTTAGGAAATGGAAAATTAGGACAGTAAAAGTACCTATAGCTGGGCACAGTGGTGCACACCTGTATTCCCAGCATTTTGAGAGGTTGAGATGGAAGGATTGCTTGAACCCAGCCAGAAGTTTGAATCCAACCTGGACAACATAGTGAGACACCCTCCCCTTTTTATTTTTCAGACTGTGATCATTTATTTCAGTATGTTTACACAGAGAAAACCAGAGAAATTGATATTACTGTGAAAAATGCTCATCTAAATATAGATCGTTGCCTTTCCAGGATCTATGAGTTTCTGTGCCTAAAATCTTTCAGTCAAATCCTAGATGTCAGGGTTGCTAAGTGATATACATCCTTTCACACCTTTTAGTGGGTGGAACTTGCAGGGAGGAAGTGTCTGTGGGTGTCACCATGGGGCGCCAGAGAAAGACAGCTGTCCTTGGCTTCTGGTCAATAATGTTTGTCAGCTTAATTATATAAGATATTACAAAAGATACAGATGAAAAGATGCGTAGGATGAGGCACAAGAATGGGCACAGTGCTTCCATGCCCTTTCCGGGCATGCCACCCTCCAGGAACCTTCCTCACATGTTCAGTTATCAGAAGCTCTGAGAACCCCTCTTGTAAGAAAATAATATATCTAAAAAAAAAATAAAACACCTAACTTACAGAGTTGTGGAATTATTAAGTATATTAAATAAGATCATGCATGCAAAGTGCTTAACAGCTTCAGACATGTTGTAAGCACTTGATAATGCTTGCTATATAGTTATTTATAGACATATAGTTTACATATATGTATAATTACAAATATATGCATGTAAAGATCGATAGAGGTCCCGATACAGAATGACTAAGACCACAAAAGAGAGGCATTTTCACACAGGTTTTCTTCATCTAGGGGATGCTGACAGTTTCCCTGAAAGAAAGCAGCAGACTTGTGTCTCTGGAAGCAAGCTACTGGCCTGGCCCACACTCCTGAGATGAGAAGAAACAGGCAGAGGAGAGCTGAAGACAGAACACAAATCAGATCACTGTCTTCTTGAAAGAAAAACAGAGAAGGAAAAAGAGACAGAAAAGAGTCAAAAGAGTGCCTCCCTCAGCCGGGCGCAGTTGCTCAAGACTATAATCTCAGAACTTTGGGAGGTTGAGGCGAGAGGATTGCCTGAGCCCGCAGGTTCGAGACCAGCCTGGGCAACATGGTGAGACCTTGTCTCTACAATAAATGAAAAAAAAAAAAAAATTAGCTGCCTTCCTCACCTCCACCCCAACCAGGTTAAAGCCCTCTGCCCACTAAAGCAGCCTCAGTCACAGACTAGGACCCCAAAACCAACAGAAGGCTGTAGTACAAGCCTTCCTTATCCATGTCAACCTGAGTTTCTCAGTGACATAGACCAGGCAGGATTGGGGGTTTGGAGCCACATACATGGCCTTTGATCTCCTGGCGGATGGAGCTCTTTTTTGTTTTGTTTTTTGAGCCAGAATTTCACTCTTGTTGTCCAGGCTGGAGTACAGTGGCACACTCACAGCCACCACAGCCTCAACCTGCTGGGCTCAGGTGACCCTTCCACCTCAGCCTTCCAAGTAGCTGGAACCACAGGCATGCACCACCATGCCCAACTAATTTTTGTTGTTGTTGTTGAGTTGGAGTCTCACTCGGTCGCCCAGATTGGAGTGCAGTGGTCACTCCCGGCCACCGCAGCCTCGCCTGCTGGGCTCCGGCGATCCTTCCACCTCAGCCTTCCGAGTAGCCAGAATTATAGGCACGCGCTACCACGCCTGGCTGATTTTTTGATTTATTGTAGAGATGAGGTCTCACTGCCCAGGTGGGTCTG